TATATATATATATATATATAAAAATAATTTGTTTTATGAGGTTCTCGCGGGTATTTGTATGTGGATCTTTGGTTATTCAGGTTTTCTCCCGCGTAAGATTTAGAAGTATCCAAAAGATACTTCCAATCTTACGCGGGAGAAAACCCGAATAACCAAAGATCCATACACACACACACACACACACACATACACTCCATATATGTATGTATGTATAATATGCATATATCTAAAAAGTATAAAGATACATGTGATAATAAAGATCTGACTGCTATCTCTCTCTCTCTCTCATACTCCATCCATGCATTTATCTAAATATCTATCTGGAATGGTGAAGGTTCTGTCTTAAAAGCGGCCCGGGGGTGGGGTGGGGTGGGGTGGGGGTATGAGTTCTAGACCTTCCTTAGGGTTACAAGCCAGCTGGGTGACCTTCGGGCCAGTCACTCTTTCTTAGTCCAAGCCACGTCAAAGGGTTCTCCAGGCAGGGGAAAAATATAATGCACATTTTTTGAAAGCTGAATAACACACCTGAGTTCCGTCTATGTGGCTTTAGTCCTACATTTATTAAGATCTGATATTTTACCATACCAAGGGGTGTGATTTTTATATTCCCCCACTCTTCTATATTTCTGATAAGTTCTTGATGGTTTTGTTTCTGTGGACAGTAATTTATCAGGTAAGTTGCTAGCAGTTATTGGATTTTAATTAATCTATACGGAAGGTTCTTGGTAAGGGACCTTTTTAAAGCAAAGTTGCCTTTGAGTCGAGCCCAACCTCTGCCAGCCTGCCTCTAGACTCAGTTTTTCTCCTTACAGAAATGGTTTCCCCTGGTTGTTTTCAGGGGTGTTTTGTGGAATTCTCGGTTTGATTCTACTGCTGAACTTCCTATACCATCCCAGTTAAATACCAACCAGGACAAACCCACCTTAGCCAAGCTGAGTTGGTAATATTTAGTCTGATGTAAAATGGAAGCATTATACTAATAGCTAGAAATTATTTTCATCATTGACCAATAAAAATGTAGCCAGATATTTAAGTAACATAGAAATACAGAAGAGTTGTATTAGCACACTTTAATATATTATATACAGCCATCTGGAACTAGTAAGAAAATCCCAGGGGAAGATTGCCACTGCAGAATAGACCTTTTTGAAACCATAAGCTATTTTAGTTACACAGTATGGTATTTTTCATTGAGACTTTGTTGCCCAATTCTGTAAATATTAATTCTACAAGAACCACTGTTGAGTATGAACGGATTGATTTCTCTAAATGCTTTTGAATATCATGTTGCCTGTAGAATTCTAATTACTTTGTGATTGATGATGTCAGTTTAGTAAATATATTGTCTGTCTTGCATATTTGTGATCTTTAATTGTGTGACTTGCATATTTGTGATCTTTACCTTAAGAATAACAACACAGTAACTCCATCTCTGACTTTCTCGCTGTTCATTTCTCAGTCACTCTGGTTTTATGGTTTGATTTTAGTTATTCTTACTACTTAATCAAATATTCCATCTTATAAACAGTGTGATCACTTTTGTATTCTGTCCTGATGCAGGAGGGAATGTATTTTGAAACTTCATAATTATTAAATTTGTGTTATGATTTTTTTAGGCGAATGATTTGTTCTAACCATTTGCTTATATCCATTCAATCTTGAAAATGAGAGAATGAACTAATAGTTTAAGCAATAGTCTAATAACTTTTTCTTCTCATCAGAATCAATAAGAAATAGAACAATGCCCAGAATGATGGGGGATATTACATTAAAAAGATAATGCAACCTGGTGTGTACATCTCAGTATATGAGACATGACTACAGTATTCAGTTTTGAGAATGGTGACACAGAGCTGAATCAGCAGAATGATAGCCTTGGGAAACTTACAGAATAAAAGCAGAGTCATCTTACATAGTTTGTAGTGGTTCTAAAAGGATTATGTTTGCAGTTTGTAATATTGTTGACAGCCTGGAAGAAAGAGTGACATGTTGTAACAATAGACAATAGAAATATTAGCTATCTTGGAGTAAGTTTATGGGTTGGTTAATCATTTACAAATAACGATATTTCCCGAGAATCTGGAAAAAAAACGAAAAACCTAGACAACCCATGTCCTGTTGGGTCATTGTTTTGAAGATAATTCCTCGGTGCCTTCAAAAATTGCAGAGCTTCTGATGTTCTGGAAAAGTTCTTAAAAATTCAGGGAGATTCTCAGAGATGTTTCTGCCCTGAAAATATTTCATGTTGAACTATATACTACGGTCAGAAGGTTTTTCAAATCCTCGAAATAATGATGTGAATTCACTGAAAATTCATTTTGCATAATTATTAAAGAATATTATGCAGGAAGGGTTGTAATAATAACATAATGCAAAAATATTCCAGGAACTGCATAAATCATTAAAAGATGTGCTGATTGAGTTTACCTAAAAAAGAAAACACGTTACCTGAAAAGTGCTTGGATTGGTGAGAAATGATAAAAGAATCAATGATAAATCTGTAAGCCATTCAGAGTCACTTTGTAGGGGAGATGGGCGGCATAAAAATTAATAAGTAATAAATGCCAAGGTGCTCAAAGGGCTAAATTGGGAACAAAATAAAACATGGAAACAGAAATTTATATGCTTAATTTGGCATAAGTGCAACGTGTTCTATTTTTAAAATGTTGATAGCAATAGCACTCTAACCACTGCGTGACCAGGGCTCTAAAAGAATTATAGAAGCAGTGGTGGGATTCAGTGTTTTTTTTTTTACTCCCGGTTTTGTGGGCGTGGTTCTGTGGGCGTGGCAGGGGAAGGATACTGCAAAATCTCCAGTCAGTGGTGATATTTGCTGGTTCTCTGAACTACTCAAAATTTCTGCTACCGGTTCTCCAGAACTGGTCAGAACCTGCTGAATACCACCTCTGTATAGAAGTCTAGTGTGAGAATTTTTACAGTACAGTTTGTTTCTATACAAAATGACAGTAGTATCTGATTACTCTATAATGTAAACAATGACTTCTCATTATACTACAGATTGATTTTCTTTATAGGGAAAGATACGCAGAAGAAAAATGACTACATTGCACAAGTTTTTAAAATGATATTTTAACTTATTAATTAAGATTAATAGATAATAAGCGTCAAAATCATTTAAGCTTATGTTTTAGTTATTTATTTAAAGTTATTTTAGCCGCCCAACATCTATTAATTTTAACATTTTGCATTCTGTATGTGGCTTTTTTCTGTTAGCCATTTTGAGTAGATTGGGAATTAAAAAGTACAGTAGTAAAAGTCACAGTCTTTCTCTAGTAGAACTGAGCTCCTGGTGACAGCCATGGGCACGTCCCCCCATCTACAACAGGCAGGTCATTTGCTGTAGTCTTTCCTGAGTGTTTTTTTTTTTCAGCTTCCAGGGTTAGGGTATGGGACCCTGGGATTTTCTGGATATTTCCCATCAAAGTGCTAAGCAGGCCTGATCCTAGAGAAGTTTGAGATCAGTCAAGGCTACCTCAGTGCTGCCACCTGCTGCCTGGGATGAAATATAGGACATTCTATACAGTACAGCAGACGGAAATAAATGCTGGTAGTGTACAGTGCAGTATTTATTCAGTAGAAGCTCATGAAATTCTAGTGCAGTTTAGTTTCATTACTTCACATTACTTAACGTGTGTGTGTGCGTGCATGCGCGTACATGCACACCCACACCCCATACTGTATATACCGAAAGGTATGTGCTTGCATTAGAAGAAAGTCATTTAAGTCCTGGATTCAAATCGCAGTTGGGTCATTTAGACTAGTTTGCATAGTCACGATGCTTTTTGGCAAATTTGAGACAAGGTATTTGGTAAGCAATGGCTGCTTTGCTACTGTATCACCAATCCCATTTTCTGATAAAAGTTATGTGCTGACTTAGAGTCCAGATTCCTGGTTTTTATTTATTTTTGATATTTGTATGCCACCTGATAGAACAACTCTTGACAAGTTACATCTCATGAAACCATTAAATGTGCCACACAGAGAGACAAGATGAGGTCCTAAAATCAGTCCCCATTCAAAGAGCTGCCATAGTTATGTTGCCTCTTGCATTCTGAAAGATAAGGAAAATGCTGTCTCAATAGCCTTTCAGAATGCTAACAGGAAAGAGCTGTTGTAATCTCCGAGGATAGATAATTGAAGATAATCTTACTCTATAGACTAGTTTAGAAATTAAGTTGCCCAGCACTATCTCAAGCCTTTTTAGAAACTCTTGAAAATAGAACTATTCTGGAGGGCCTATGGTGAGTGGTATGACATCTGGTTTGATTATTTTTATGATGCTTACTTAATTTTATACTTACATATTCTACTTTCAACTGTGGATATTTTATTTAAACGACTCTGTTGTTTGTAATTGAAGTAAACCAACATGACGGTTATACGTGCAATAAATAAGCAGAAGTTCTGCATTGAGGCTTTGGCTTCCTTAACATTTCAGGGTGGGGAGGAATCCAGAGTTTATTAGGACATATGAAATGAGCTAATTGCAACTGGCAGAGAGTCCTATCCAGATGAGTCCTCTAAATAAATAGTCTTGCCTCTCTTGTTGAGACTCATTCTAAACTCTTCTACCTCCTCCAGTCCTTCAAAAGCCACCAGGCACCAGCTCAAGACTTCGACCTCCTGCTCTGATTAGGATGGGGGGCATACATAGCTGGGGATCGCTAGCATGCCTCACCCCCCCCCCCCAATTGATGATGTCCTCTTCCAGCAGTTTCATTTAGATGATTTCTTGGATACTTGTCCGCTGTTGTTGGGAAGCAGTTTTGCCAAGAATGACCATTTATTTCTGATGATTTGTATTTTTCTCGAATCACCTTTATGACACTGGATTGGTGAAAGCTTAGAGAAAGTTTCACAACCATATCCAGACTCGCAACTATCAATGACTTTTATATAGGGATCTTCTAGAGAGCCAGCTCATAGGAAGTCTTAAGCAGCGTCTATTTGGGAAACAGTCGTCTTTATACCTTGCGTCTCAGTCCTTAAAATAACGAGACTTCCTGTTCCCAAATAGTAGAGACATCATGCTGTCATTTTTCAATCATCTTGACTTCCAGCTTGCTGATTGGTGCTGAGGTTTAATTCACCTGTTGGCTAAATTAAATCCAATATCAACCAGCCTTTGCTCCTTTTTTTTTTGCAGAATTCCGAACATTCTCAAAGCTTACTCTGAAGTGGTAGATACTGTGCAAAACGAGGTATGTAAACAGAGCAGAAGCAAAGTTTCACTATAAAGGATCCGTTTGAGTGACTCTAAATGTTGTCCACTCTTGCTTAAATGTACAGGCAAAAAAACAAAGTGTGAAAGAAACAGACTTACAGTCCAGTTTTGCCAGGGTATAATCCACATAGCAGTTGGGAGGAGCTGTGAGAGATGAATTGCTGTTAAGTCACTCACAAATACAATTACAACATAATCGTGGAACAAGTCTTAATGGGGGAATTCTTATCTCCAATTTGTATCTTTCGTTGCATATCAAATCTTATCCTTCTATGTAAAACGTGCAGAATTTGCTTCCCTTTCTCACCTTTCATTAAAATTAGCTTCCTTTTTAGCTTCTCCGCACATAGAGATGGCAAGTCAACAGATTGCTGTGCCATTTCTTCACACATTTCACATGAGGAAGCCTTGCTAAATTGGGCCAAAGTCTGTTCCCGCAAATGGTCAATCGGCAGCAAATACTGCTGTGCTGTAGTGTTCTAACTGAAGCTTTGGGGCAATCTCGGTCCTTTGCCTGAACCATCAAATCTGTGTGAGATCAGTAGCCGGGTGGGGACCCTTGACCATCAAACAGAGCAGCTGCCAGTTGCAGTGCCTGTTTCTGGTTGGGAAGGTTGTGAACTGGACAGAGCCAAAACTTCACTGATTACATAAAACCATCAAACAGTTTACATATTTGGTTTGGCTTAGTGACT